CATATCCTGTCACTTGGTGGCATATCAAGTCACTTGGTGGCATATCATGTCACTTTGTGGCATCTCCTGTCACTTTGGCATATCCTGACACTTGGTGGCATATCGTGTCACTTCGTGGCATATCAAGTCACTTCGTGGCATATCAAGTCACTTCGTGGTATATCAAGTCACTTCTTGGCATATCCTGATTCCAAAGTGGCACATCTAAGCATAGGATGACGCATATTTATAATAGATGGCGCATCCATGCACCATGATGCTCCATTCCACTTCCAGGTGCTCCATACCCCCTTTTAGAATATACATTCCTTTGTCAGGAGATCCATTCCCTTCTCAGATGATCCATTCCTTTGTCACATGCTCCATGAATCCCAAGTGCTCCATTGAGTTCCAAGTGCTCCATGTTGGACAAGACTTCATACCCCAATATTTCCATCTTATTTCTTCAAGCACAACCAAGAAAGGCTTCTTTCTAGCATCTATAATGATTGCATCAAAACACTTTTCCATCCCATTCTCTTCAACCTCACATGCCAACCCACCACCAAAATATGCCCTGCACCATGATTGAGGGTCTCTAGACATAAGATGATCATAATGACCTTCACTTAAAGTCTTAATCCTATCCATGTTTATCTTGAAATCCCCTTCTGTTGTGGATTTTGAAGCTGCCCAAAACATGTTTTGAATTCTATCCCACTATACACTTTCCTAAAATTGGCATAAATATGCCTAGCACATTGTCTGTGCTCTACATGGGGTAGAAGACCCTAGTACATGAACAAGTATATTAGTAATTGTTATATTAGTAACTGTTATTAGCAAGTGTAATAAATGATATGTAAATAAAGGAATATGTCATTACCTCATGTTGATCTCTAATGATACATAATCACCAGCCAACATCCAATGAAAGATCTTAACTAACTAGTTCCAAGAACCATTTCCAATTAACCTTGTTCTCAACCTTTCCAACAACCTATGAAATAGGGAAAATTTGATTATTTGCATCTCTACCTATTGCAGTTAGTAGTTCACCCTTGCATTGTCCCTTTAAAGAACAGTCATCCAATCCTATAACCCTACGACATCCTCTTTTCCACCCCTATTTGATTGCTTTAAAAAACACATATATTCTATGAAAAGTTGTTGTCTGATCAGGGTTAAGGTTAACAGAAGTCCTAACTGTGCTACATGGATTGGACCTCATCAATTCATGTCCATAATCCTACATTCTTGCATAATGGTCACTCAATTTTCCATCAATTAAGGACAATGCCCTACACCTTTATCAATAACACTTTGACCATGAGACCTTGCAATGAAATTTACTTTGATTTATTTTCTGCATTTCCTTGAATTTTAACTTTGGTTTCCTTAGTAGTTCTTTCACAAATTTCTTTGTTAACCAAGTTGGATTCATAAGTAATGAACTAATAAAACTCCTAACACATGTATATCTATAACTCATCTTTTTCACATGAAATGATTTTTCAGTACTCATCCATGAAGCACGAACCATAAAAGGGCATTTTTCTGGATCACTTGCACATACAACCACTAGTCTAACACTGTCACACTTTTTGAAATGAATTTTATAACCCTTACGGATGGAATAATTTGTTAAACATAATTTCAGTTGATGTCTGGATTCATACCTTTCCCCAAGAACTGGTTTCATAACATTCCATTTGACCTTCAGATCATAGATGGCATATTCGAATACATCTTCATCACTATCTTCCGCACTAGATTCTTCAGTGTTTTTTTCATCATCTACTTCATCAACACCATAGGACTCCACTTGAGCATGCCCTCCTTCACATCCTAGTGCTTCATAATCACTTTCTTCACACAAAACATTAAGAAACTCATTTGTGCATCTTGAAACTGTCTTTCTTCTGAAAAAATCATCAAGTCGAACGTCGATGGTGTCCGGATTAAATACTTCATCCATCTACAAAATCTGTGGATTAAACGATGCTTTGGATGAATAGAAGGATTATCGGGAACGAGACAAGAAGAAATGGGTTTGTTTTATAACCCTAAACTAATGAAGTCAATATACACAACACAATCACCATTAACATGCCACATAGACATTTGTAACCAGTAAAACGAGGGTTACCGGATGAAAGGGACTAAAATGTTTGGTTTATCCGGTTTATTGGGATTTTTTATTAAAAAAAATAGGACTTTTTTAAAAATTTTCCCAAAATATTAAGACTTTATTTTAGATAACCCATTTGAATATCGGTAAATGTTGGGGATTTTGTAACATCCCAAAACCATAAGGTAAAAATTTCATTTTTAATTCAACATAAAACATTATTTATTCTTATCAACCATTCATAAGGACGTCAAAGAAAAATAATTATCAGAGTACAATTCCCAAAATCAAAAAGTGCGAAAACATGGGTGGATGCGCTGCGATCAAGCCGGACCCTTCCCTTTCGAACTTGAAGTACTTGAAACCATAACCATAAAACCGTAAGCACAAAGCTTAGTGAGTTCCCCAAAATACCACATACCATACATATCCTTGGGTATATCCCTCACATTGGGCCCATCCCACAATAATGGGCCTAGCCCTTCCTCAACATACAATGTAAGAGTCACAAATACAGCTAGCATCCAACATATCATACATTGGGCTTAGCCCTTCCTAATCCATGGGTCCAACCCAACATAAAAAATAGGCCTAGCCCGTCATACAATGGGCCTAGCCCAACATACCATGCAAAAGTCACAAAGATAGCTAGCATATAACAGATCCTAGTAGGCCGACATTGGTGCTTTCAAACTACGGGTACAGTGAGGAGACTCGCCTCAATCTGAGATAACCAAAATACACACGCGTTGCTGCTACTGGGCTCCTCACACTGAACACATCCAAAATATCCCTAATTAATAATTAAGGTAATTTCCATATTCCAAGATCCAATTCGTATTCTATCATTCCAATGGATAAAAGACCATTTTACCATTCCTATATCAGACCCTCTCATGGCCCAAACTCCCAAAAGACCCAAGGCCCATAAAGCCCAATAAGGGCATCTCACGAGTACGCCCCGCGTACCAGACTAGTACGCCCCGCGTACTGCATGCTGAAGCCTAGTGTACAACCCGTCACATGGAGGAATCGGGAAACCATGCATTACGTTGAGCGTACACATACGTACGCCCAATGTACTCCCTTGGTGACCAAATCTCACTTTTAACACTTAATGCTTAAGACCAAAATGTCCATAACACAGATCTAACCTCTAAGGGATGTCTTAAGTCATAAAGTTCCTGACTTATGACTTTGCGTGGCTTAATGGGGTCCAAACCAAAGCCCTAAGTCTCAAACTTCATCAAAAGACCACCAACTCATGCATGGAAAGATTATACTCATCAAGATCCAATTTTTATGACTTAATGACCTCAACAAAGACCAAATATGCGGCTCAAAGGTTCTGGAGTAGCTTCTACTCACAAGAACCACAACCATGGGACCAAAACATGACAATTCATGAACCAAACTAGATCTACATGAGAAGTCCATCAAGATTAAAACTTTATACCTCCAGAAGCTAGGTCAAGATGAAAAGGGTTAGGATCTACAAGCTCCAAGACAACCAACACTTCTCCAAGGAGTTCTTCTTCTTCCAAAAGCACCAAAAATCCACCAAAATCACTCAAAGACTCAAAATCCTTCCAAATGGGGCTAGGGTTTCGAATTTAGGGTTAGATGGGATGGAGGCTAAAGATAAGAAGGGTTGGAAATGAGTCAAGGACTTTAAATATGGTCTTGGACCGTGAACTAGGGTTTGCATCTGACTGGAGTACGCCCAGCGTACTCTAGGTACACCCAGCGTACTGGATTGCACTTTGCGATCTTCCCTGCCCAGTACGCCCAGCGTACGCCCTGTACGCCCAGCGTACTCGGCTAAGCCCAAAATCCTCATAACTTCAAACGGTCATAACTTCCGCGTCCCTAATCCGTTTTCGGCGTTCTTTATATGCTCGGAAAGGTAATGAGAAGCCCTACACTCCTATCGACTCTCCTTCGCCTTAAAACATTCTGAACTTAAATCCTAAATTCATGAAAGGCCCGAGCCATCGCATTTTTACCATTATACCCTTGGGCTCCAAAGCACAAACCGAACTCTTGGATCACATAATCTACATTACCCACATCCAAATGGGTCTAAACCTCTCTTTCCCCAAGGCCCGAAGCATTATGATAGTTGATATTTGGGTTACTGCCCCGAATTATGATTCGACTCGAAACATGGTGTTACAACTATCCCCACTTAAATTAGATTTCGTCCTCGAAATCACTCCTTAATACCTTCCCGGATAACCAAACGATCCGACCAATTCCTCTCGACCCCGCTTCGACGAAAAGGCTGACTTATACTCACGGAGGAGAACATAACCCACTAAGAATTAATAATATATATATTTATATTTTATATGTTTCCTAAGATTAATAAAAATGCATAATTTTTATTAAAATTTCCAACATACGGATTATTAAAATACTAATCTAATATTTACAAGCTTTAATATATTAAAATAGAAAAATGAATATTATTCACTTGGTATTAAGATGATGTTTCAATTTTGGTTGGTTTTTCATGATCATAGGGGCAATGTACCTTATTGAAGTATGTTAGTAGGGGCGACAAACCCTTTATGACAACATCAAGCTTGTTAGGCTTGATGTCTATTTTCTGTAGTTATTGCGAATGTTACGAACCGAAAGATATTAAAAAGAAAAAGAAATTTTAGTTGTTTTTTAATATTCACACAAATGAGTTAATGTCGCAATTTTAGAAAGGGGCTTATTTTGTTTTGAACAACAGATCTAATTTAATCATAAACTGTTCCTTAATTTCACATATATCCACGATGAGACTTGAACCCTCAACCTTAAGGAGGGAGGGCAACACCCCATTGATAGAAAGGGGTTTATTACATTGGGAAATATGGCTTAAAAGCTATAAGAGAAACTAGAGAAAGGCAAGAAGCTCAGGGTCACTTTGAATAATCTCCATGTCTTGCTTTCTTAAACACACGAATGCCTCAATACCATCTCCGTTTGGAGAATCCATCATAATAAAGCTATTCTTCCTTAGATCTCCGGCAATGGCTACTTTTACCGGCTTTCCCCACCCAAAATCAATCTCATATGCAGGATACCTACACAAGCTTGTACAAATATAGCTGACACTAAGTTTTCTTTGGTGCTCTTCTAAAGCAGGTTTCGAACACATTTGCGAAATCAGACCAAAGGTAGTTGCAATATTTGGTAGACTTTGGAATTGCATCTTTTTCATCTTGAACTCACCGATGAATGTCTCTGGCTTCATTTCACTTTCGTTGTTTGTTACTATATCACCTATCATGAAGAGATTTCCCATGCTGTTTTCAGGCAATGGCTCGATCATTTTACCTCTTATGTTCGTTAAATGACTAACACCAGTAGGTTTGAAAGAGCCTGAAGTATTATTTTTCATAGCTGCTTTCACAGCACACTTATAAAGTAGCCAATTCAAAACTTCAACACGGGTAGGGTTCGTGATGGGATTTCCAGATTCTGCAGTCATGGTTTTCACCTTGAGTTTCAGGTCGTTTATCTTTGAATTTGGAAACATGAAACTCCTAGTGACACAGTCGTTCGATCTTTCAAGGGACAATCCTTCATAATTTATGTTCATGTATTCAAGCGATATAAACAGTGGGTTGATGGGAGATTCATGTTTCTCCACTCCGGAGCAAAACCTTGTCATTTTAGCCCAATCATTTATTAAAGTGGCCAAACTGCATGCGTCTGCTATTTTGTGGGACAACGACACTGCCACTGCTACTCCTCCACATTCAAAATGGTTGACCTGAACTGCTAGTGGTGTCACTTTGTCACTTTCAAGATCATGATCTCCACGGTTTGACTTGTCATTTACTAGACCATGTGGAAAGAACTGGTCAAGATCTTCATGCTGCGAGTTCTGAAGGAAATCCGATAGTGTTCTATCGACAGATGCTTCAAGAAACTCAGCTCCTTCATCGTTGCAATCAACACATGCTGGTGCAACTTTTGCATGCCTACCAGCAAAAGGGTAATACTTTGTTAATGTTTGAGATAATGAGTTCTTCAAGTCGAGCGTTTTATCATGAGAACTACGATCAATGCCGGTGTTTGGGTAGAAAGTAACCATCGGCATAAATGTGTTCACAGACATCTGATCAAGCAACGAAAGATTGTAGGTTTTGAGGTGAGATGGAGTTGGAGAAGAGGGTTTGATGATTTCTTTAGAGACGATTGTGTGAAGCTGCCTTCTACCAAATCTTATCAGACTGCTTATCATCGTCATCTTTGTGAAAAGTAAAGGGTTTTTGATGATATTATCCTTGTAATTTACCATGTCATATATAGCCACAGTGAGGGCGGATCTAGGATGACCGAAATATTTTTTTTAGATTGAAAGTTTGATTTTGCCACCATAAATTCTTGAAAAAAAATATAAAGAACTATATAACTTTAGATGCGCCGATTGCTGAGGCCGTAAAAGAAGATTCAATAGAGAAAAGTGACGAAAAAGAAAGAAAATTGAAAACAAGAGAACTTTGCAGATTGGAATCTACCGCCGCTTGACATCTCGAGAATACTACATGTTAAAATGTAAGCTGATGCATAAGAAAATGATAAGTCTTCGTTGATTTTTGTAAATTCATAAGGGTACTTGGAGTGGACTCGGCATCCCCTCGGCATGAGTTGAGTTCGGCAAGCACACTGCCTAACTCGTCTTTGTAGAGGAGAGAGAGATTGTTCATATTACCAAAAAAATAATTTTTATTATCACTTTTTTAAAAGATTATTCATATTTTTTTTACCAAAAATTCAACTTTTTTACTATTTTTCAACCAAAATAAATACCAACATTTATCTTCTTTTCTACCACACTCAAAACTTCAATATTTTTCTTATTTCTATCAAACATTCAATATCCAATCTTGAAAATGGTTTCCTTAAACTCTTCATCTAACCAAAAAAACTCCAAATAGAAACAACTCAAACCATTTATCACCCATCTTCTACCAACCTCAAACGGATCGTCCCATTTTTTCACCGCATACGTTCAATTATCCCGGATGAGCATAGCCAATCGTAGGATATGTATTTCGGGTTAGACCTCAACAAAGATTACTCAATTGAGGTTCAAATCAATGTTGTTAAGATCGGGATCTTACTCAAGATCGTTTTATGTTTTGCAAGATCGTGATCGTAAGATCGAATCGGGATCTTAAGATCCTATCAAAATGAACTCATATGCAAATTTGCTTGTAAGGGATTGAGTGTGCAATATACATTATAGCTTGATGTTGATTATGACGACAATAATCACAGGTTTTGTTGTTTCAAAGCCTAAAATTAGGAAGAAAACATCTTAATTGTAAAAAAGAAATAAGATAACTATCATCATATACAACTAAAGGCTTAACATCATAAAAAGAATATAATGGGTGTGACCTATCGATGAAACTCTATGAGGCTTCTTGAAACATACAATACACGATTTCAAGTTTAATAGATGAATTTGTTAGTCCCGGCTTTAAAATAAAACGCGAGAGGTGGGATCGGATCGTGTTAAGATCTTAACATCCTAGTCGGGATCTTAAGATGCCACTATAGATCTTGCTTCAGATAGATCCTATTAAGATCGGGATCATTTTTGTCTTATATGATCTTAACATCGTAAGATCTTAAGATCAAGATCGGGATCTTAACAGCCCTGGTTCAAATACCTAATCATCCCATGGGAAGAGTTTCAGCTAAACGAAAGGGCAAAGGGGTCAAAAGTGGCTCAAGTCATTTAGATGATATGAAGTCGGGGCTTAAATTCTACTTTGAAAAAAAATACTTGCACATTACAACAAAAAAAAGTATGTGACATGAAACTCCTAATGAAAGACATTTCTCACTACCCCCTGATGAATAAAAGTTGATGTTTAAGGTTGAAGGTTAAAACATAGATTGCAAAAAATATCTTGGGATACAACACCACCCGATATCAAGGAAAGGATCTGAGCTTGGTAGCATCAATGGTAATGGAAAGTGGTGTTTGTTCATGAAAGTGGTGATGAAAGTGGGAGGTGGATGGTGGATGGTTTCGGTAGGAATGGATGGTGTTGGTTGAAGAAGATGACTGGAATATATCTTAAAGGTAAATACAAAAAGTTATTGTAACAGCCCAAAAACCATAATAAAATTTTTCATTTAAAAAAAAACACAAGAGTTACAATCATCACATTGTTCCAAAACCAACCCATAATAATAATGTCAAATCATCAGACTATAATATCAAATATGCGGAAAATAGTGAGGAGTGAATGTTGCGCCATCAAGCCAGACCATTCCCTTTAGTACTGGAAGTACTTAAAACCATAAATATAAACTGTAAGTAAAAGCTTAGTGAGTTTACCAAACATACCACATACGTAAAACATATAAGTGTCATGGGCTACCCATATGGTCTTTTCACGCAATACCAAGGGCCATATCCCGGTCTTACATATGAGTGTCATGGGCTACCCTCATGGTTTTTTCTTGCGATGCCGAGGGCCAAATCCCGGTCTTACACACAAGTGTCATGGGCTACCCCCATGATCTTTCATACAATTATCACAAAGGCAACAAACATTCCACATAACAAGAAATAGGTTGGCATTAGTGCCTTCGACCCATGGACATGGTGAGAAAACTCACCTCAACTATTGAAATCTCAGAAAAACGCTCGGGCTGCTGGACTGGAGAAATTCCCGTGCTAACTAAACAATAAAGACCCAAAAACAATTAGGTCAAAATACGGACTAAGACTTACAACACTTGCCTAATGTCCAAAGTGAGATGGGCCAAACTAGACTTCAAGCCCAATAAATCCTAGGCTCAAACCCAAGGATCATCCAAGATCCAATAGGAGTCCATCAGCTGAAGTGTCCCAACAGAAGGAAGTCCAAGGCCCAACCCAAACAAGAAAGCCTATCGATTTGGGCCCAAAACACATTTCGAGTTGAATTGGGTCGTACACTCGGTGTACATAATGGTACACACAACGTACCTGGCCAGAGCGTGAGGGTCGTGACTAGGGAGGCAATACGCGCGACGTACAGGAAGTTACGCACGACGTACGTAGTCCCCATGAAAACCATGCAAAAACGTCTTAAAGCCTTAAGACCAAGCGACTAAAACTCAGATATGAAATCATTAAGACCATTAAAGCCATAAAGTTGAAAAATTTATGCCTTTGGGTGGATACAAGGAGCCCAAACTCTAAAACTTAGCTTATTTCACCCCATCCAACGCTCTAACTCTTGAATGGGGACTAAACAAGGTCCAAGCTTGCACCTTTATGATATAAGATGTCTATAAACATCTGAAAATACAACTTGGAGGTTTTGGGGTAGCTCATACTCACCAGATCTAAACTTTAGGGACAAGAAGGATGAAACTAGCCTCAAACTAGAACTTAATGAAACACAAACCAAGTTTGGAGCTTTATACCTCCTAGTAGTGCAAAATGAAGAGGAGATGTTGGATCCAAAGTCTTGATGGCAAAGCTTCCTTCTTGAATAACCTTCTTCACTACCAAAAGCACACACAATCACTCTAAAAGCTCCAAAATGCACTAAGGTTTCTTAAGAGGGCCAAGAAAGGAAATAGAGGCTGAGGTAGGGGAGGGTCTTGGGCCATAATGAGGTTTAAATAGTGCACAAACCCTAATTCTTAGGGTTTTGGACTGAGCCACGTATGCCGTGCGTACTGGAATACGCACAACATACTCGCACGGGAGCTATTACGCTAAGCGTACAAGGACGTATGCCCCGCGTACACAAACAATACCAAAAATTCAAGATTTTGAATTCAGGGACCCAATTTGCAAAAAAAAAAAAAAATCAAAACTCAAGGGTTTAAAAGCAAACTTGATCATTGTAGATGTTACAACTCTCCCCCCACTTGAACTAGACTTCGCCCTCGAAGTCGGCTGCCTTGAACAATTCAGGGTAGTGCTCCCTCATCTCGTTTTCAGGTTCCCACGTCCACTCAGATCCCTTTCGGTGCTGCCATTGCACCTTTACCAGATTCACCACCTTATTACGCAAACACTTAGTTTTCCGATCGAGAATCGCAATCGGCTTCGCCGCATAATTCAAGCGCTCATCCACTTGAATATCATCCAACGAAATCACTGATGAATCATCGGCTACACATTTCCGCAACTGAGATACGTGGAAAGTGTTATGGATCTGACTGAGCTCATCAGGAAGATCTAGCCGGTATGCAACCTTGCCCACACGAGCAGTAATCCTGAAGGGACCAATAAACCGGGGGCCCAGCTTGCCCCGTTTCCGAAACCGGATGACACCTTTCCAAGGTGACGCCTTTAGCAGCACAAAGTCTCCCATATGAAACTCAAGGTCCGAACGGCGTCGGTTGGCATGACTCTTTTTTCGACTCTGCGCAACCTGCAACCTGTTGCGCACCTGCTGAATTAACTATGTAGTCTTAAGCACCACCTCGGTGCTTCCCATGACCCGATGACCAACCTCACCCCCAACAAACCAGGGTCCCACACCTTCTTCCATACAACAACTCAAATGGTGGTCGGTCAATACTAGCATGGTAACTATTGTTATAGGAGAACTCGGCCAGAGGAAGGTAAGTATCCCAACTCCCTCCGAAATCCAACACACACACCCAAAGCATATCCTCGAGTGTCTGGATCGTCCACTCACTCTGGCCATCGGTCTGCGGGTGGTATACTGTACTGAAAGTCTGAAATACAACTGAGTTCCCAACTCCTCATGAAACTTCCTCCAAAACCTGGAGGTAAAATGCACATCTCGGTATGAGACAAATGAAACGGGCACCCCATGCCTAACTACCACCTCCCAAACGTAAATATCAGCTAGCTTCTCCATGGATATGCTCTCGGCAATCGGGATAAAATGCGCATTCTTGTTCAACATGCCCACGATGACCCAGATAGAATCAACACCCAGTATCGTTCTAGGCAATTTTGTGATGAAATCCATAGTGATCTCCTCCCAATTCCATATAGGAATGGGTAATGGTTGCACCTTGTCGTGAGGTCTCTAATGCTCGCCATTGACCTTTCTACAAGTCAAGCACCACTCAACAAACCAAGCAAGCTCCCTCTTCAAGTAGGGCCACTAGTAACTCAACCTCAAATCTCGGTACATCTTCGTAGCCCCCGGATGGATAGAAAACTTGGATTTATGTGCCTCCTCTAAAATCATCTGTCTCACTGCACCTGATGCCGGAACCCAAACCCTACCACACTGCGTCAACAAC